GGCTGAAGTCTTGAGACTGCTATAGATGTTAAGGCGGGGAGGCTGAAGTCTTAAGACTGCTCTAGATGTTAAGGTGGGGTGGTTGAAGTCCTAAGACTGCTATAGATGTTAAGGTGGGGTGGTTGAAGTCTTAAGACTGCTATAGATGTTAAGGTGGGGTGGTTGAAGTCTTAAGACTGCTATAGATGTTAAGGTGGGGAGGCTGAAGTCTTAGGACTGCTATATATGTTAAGCTTTGGAGGCTGAAGTCTTAAGACTGCTCTAGATGTTAAGGTGGGGAGGCTGAAGTCTTAAGACTGCTATAGATGTTAAGGTGGGGTGGTTGAAGTCTTAAGACTGCTATAGATGTTAAGGTGGGGTGGTTGAAGTCTTAAGACTGCTATAAATGTTAAGGTGAGGTTGTTGAAGTCTTAAGACTGCTATAGATGTTTAGGTGGGGTGGTTGAAGTCTTAAGACTGCTATAGATGTTAAGGTGGGGTGGTTGAAGTCTTGAGACTGCTATATATGTTAAGGTGGGGAGGCTGAAGTCTTAAGACTGCTATAGATGTTAAGGTGGGGTGGTTGAAGTCTTAAGACTGCTGTAGATGTTAAGGTGGGGTGGTTGAAGTCTTAAGACTGCTATAGATGTTAAGGTGGGGTGGTTGAAGTCTTAAGACTGCTATATATGTTAAGGTGGGGAGGCTGAAGTCTTAAGACTGCTATATATGTTAAGGTGGGGTGGTTGAAGTCTTAAGACTGCTATATATGTTAAGGTGGGGAGGCTGAAGTCTTAAGACTGCTATATATGTTAAGGTGGGGTGGTTGAAGTCTTGAGACTGCTATAGATGTTAAGGTGGGGTGGTTGAAGTCTTAGGACTGCTATAGATGTCAAGGTGGGGTGGTTGAAGTCTTAAGACTGCTATAGATGTTAAGATGGGGAGGCTGAAGTCTTGAGACTGCTATAGATGTTAAGGCGGGGAGGCTGAAGTCTTAAGACTGCTCTAGATGTTAAGGTGGGGTGGTTGAAGTCTTAAGACTGCTATAGATGTTAAGGTGGGGTGGTTGAAGTCTTAAGACTGCTATAGATGTTAAGGCGGGGAGGCTGAAGTCTTAAGACTGCTCTAGATGTTAAGGTGGGGAGGCTGAAGTCTTAAGACTGCTATATATGTTAAAGTGGGGTGGTTGAAGTCTTAAGACTGCTATAGATGTTAAGGTGGGGTGGTTGAACTCTTAAGACTGCTATAGATGTTAAGGTGGGGTGGTTGAAGTCAGAAATGCCCAAGAGCGCAACAGATTTAACTGTTAACTGAGTGAAAGATTTGTTTAATAGAATATGGGCAGAGGAAAAAAAGATCCCAGGAAAGAATAATTGCTAAAATTCCTAAGAAAGGTTATCTTACTGACTGCAACAACTGGAGAGGAATTACTCTGTTATCAGTAATGTCAAATACCTTTTGTTAAATAATTCTAGGTAGAATTAAATGTGTGTTGGAAAAAACCCTGAGAATGGAGCAAGCAGGTTTTTGACCTAGAAGAAGCTGCTTAGATTAAATATTCACTCTGAGACTTTTTTTGATTAATTTATTGAAAAACAAACACCCCTTATTTTAAATTTCGGTTCTCCTTGCAATAACGGTCGCTACTTGGACGGCGACGGCCGTTTAGTCAGAGTTCAGTCCCCTAGCTGCAGTGCAATTACGGAGTGGACAAGGCACGAATCACAAAACAAATTTAGTTCAACATTAACCCTAACCCAAACCCTAACCCAAACCCTAACCCTAACCCAAACCCTAACCCAAACCCAAACCCTAACCCAAACCCTAACCCTACCCCTAGCCCTAATTATGTCATTTGTTTCCTTCCCTCTTTTTCCGTAATTGCACTGCAGCCAGGGGACTGAACTCCGACGAAGCGGCCGTCGCCGTCCAACTAGCGACCGTTATTGCAAGGAGAGCCTAAATTTCATTTACTTTAAGAAGTCTTTTGAAAGTTTACATAGAACATCGTGATGGGATATTTTGGAATGCTATGCAATGATAGTTTAAGTAATTGGTTTTAAGTAGATACTGGAGTGAAACAGGGATGCATTTTATATCCTCTGTTATTTGGGTTAAACTACTAATAAGTTATGAAAAGGGAAATAAACTGAAGACATCAGCAACAGATCAAGCAGATGTAACACTAGAGTCAGAAGTAATTAAAGTGACAGATCAATTAATTTCTGTAGGTAGTAATTTTGATGGTAAAGGAAATACAAAAAAAAGCATTATGACATGCATGGCAAGACATCTGTAGCCTTTAGTAGCTTGAACAGAATATAGGAACTCTAAATTGTATAGCTTTATAACCAAGTTAAATATTTTCACTTTTTATGTTATTTCAATTTTACCATATGCAAGTAAAAGTAGGAGAACCACTGAAGACATGGAATGAACATTAAATGCACTTGAAAACAAATGTCTGAGAACAATTGTGACACTAAAATGGGGTAAAACCAAAAGGAGTGAAGAAATAAGAGAAATCTCTGGGCAACCACTAGTATCAACAGTTATAAGACAGAAAAGATAGTGCTGCATTGGACATATCCTGAGAAGAAACCAGCATACAATGGACCTGTCTGTCATTAATAAGTGCATGAATCTTTGCATTCACAGCAATAGGATTCTGCTCTCAACATATCCTATCAAGTGTGATGACACAGGAGAAGGAGCAGTTGAGTGCTTGAGGCACAAGTAATCATTCTTTACCAGGGTGGATGTCCATAAGACTGCAGGTGCAGTGGTACTTCAGATCTGAAGTGCGATTAAGAAAGCATTCAGAAATCGCAATTAAGCTCCATAACCTGGATCTACACACCAACTGGACCACATGGCAAGCACTGCACTAATGATTGCGGGAAAAAGCATGGACAGAGCAGATATCGTCAACGGTGTACGAACTGGGCTATGGAGAATGAGGAATCCCTGACACTAACACGATTGTGTAACATGGGAGTTAAGCATGGTGGAGCACGTCTTTGCCATCTTCGAGGCCGAGATAGGAGACAATATAACCAGCTTCTCATGGGGACAATTAGTAGAAGTACTTTAGAGCGGCTGCTGCTTCGGAGAACTCAGCACGCATGGGTATGCACAATGTGCAGTGACATCGATTGTGATAACCAAACATAGAATAACATCTTGTAGGGAGTCGGCAGTCCCCAAGTTCAAGGTGTCTCCTTCATGCCAAAGAGCTGCATTCCTGTTGGGTGATTGGGTGAACAGTCGTTAACGAAGGCAGACAGGTTGTTGAAAGGGCGACACCTGCTGGTGGATGTAATGTCCTAAGTCCCTTCCCCAGCTAATAGTGAGGGTACTGCTAGGGCGACCGTTTATTAACCGTCATATAATGCTTCAGGTCAAAATGGACGCTAGGCACGGCACCCTTTTTTTAAAAATTATTTTATTTATTTTGCTTCTGCCAGACGGTGGCCGTTACATTTTTCTCCATTTGTAGACTGGAAGGATATAGTTTTGTCGCCCAGCTTCTGAGTTTAGTGCATGGCGTGACACTGTGTGTTTTTCGTTGGCACAGTAGAGGAGCAACTATGGGGTGACCCGTTTGCTATGAAACTGAAACTGGGATTACCAGATTATTACCTTACAATGAGATGTTTTTAGATGTTGCTTCTACTGGGAAGGCTAAACCGGTCAACAAATGCCCCCAGAAGTTGGATGTGTTGGCCAAAAGGTGCAAATATCGCAGCCATGCTGTAAGCAGACACAACACAATTACATCTTCGGATGAACACAGAAGAAGAAGATGAAGATGTTTTTTTGTCCTTCCATGCCAAAATAATCCAACACTGATGCTCTTCTCCTTATATACCAAGATATTCCAACATTGGTGCTCTTCTCTTTCATTGCCAAATTAATCCAACACTAGGGATCTTCTCTTTCCAGGCCAATATAATCTGACACTGGAGCTTTTCTCCTTCATTGCCAAATTAATCCAACACTACTGCTCTTCTCCATCATTGCCAAATTAATCCAAAACTAGTGCTCTTCTCCTTCCATGCCAACATAATCCAACACTGGTGCTCTTCTCTTTCCGTGCCAACATAACACTGGTGCTCTTCTCCTTCCATGCCAACATAATCCAACACTAGTGCTCTTCTCCTTCCATGCTAACATAATCCAACCTTTGTGCTCTTCTCCTTCTTTGTCAACATAATTTAACACAGGTGCCGCCAGATGTGACGTTGGTAGTCATGTCTTTCCAAATACTTTTGTCTAGTTTGCTGTCTGTCATTTCAGCTACAGATGTATCATGATATGATGCCAACCTAGATTTATTGCATTGAATATTGTTCTTTAAGTGAAGTGTTTGACTATTCTACATTTGACTTCCACCATTTTAGTAAGTAGCTTAGCCCATGCTTGGCACATCTTTATCATCAGTTATCTTTCTGTCCACCATTTTAGTAAGCAGCCGAACACATGTTTAGCACATCTTTATCATCGGTTATCTTTCTGTCCCCTGTTTTAGTAAGTAGCCGAGCCCGTGTTTGGCACATCTTTATCGTCAATTATTTTTGTTTACCCTTTTTTCTGTGTTAGAATGATATTAAATGTTAGTATCAGTTTTCAAGCTCACTTTTCATTATTTTAAAAATCTGGTAAGTGAACGAACTGTGAAAGACAATTTGGAGAAATGACCTCGTCCTTTCGCTCCTTCTGGAGATTTATCAAAGAAATGACTTAAACTCTGTACTATTAGTGTTCAGAAAACTCTTGCTTTCATTATCTTTTATTGATGCATTGAAATTATTTCTTTAATAACCCATCCCCCCCCCCCCCCCAAAAAAAAACCATTGTTGCACACAGACACAGACCTGCATGATGCACTCACTAATACAAATTTCTTTTGACATGTTTTTTTTATCTTGCTTGTCTTAAAACATTTAAGTTATTGTACTGTACCAGTACAAACTTCAGTTTACTTTCATACAGAATTCTGACTTTGTATTTGTTTCCTCCAGGATGCAACCCCAAAATAAAAAACAATCTAGGCTTCCTGCCAAAATTGTTAGCCAAAGAAGCCGGTCACAAAGAAGCAGGCAAGGAGATCAGGAAAGCTGAAAGAGCATTTGGAAAAGTTGGCAAAAATAATGATCCCTGGATCCTTCAGCTTTACGACTGGCTGCAGGCAAGGAGGGAAACAATCATCGCTAGTTGTAAAGCCGTCGATATGGAAGATGTGGGGCAGGTGAAGACCAGTGAGTTTATGGACATTCTGACTTCACTGCAATGTCCAACTGAAGAGAGTGAATTGAGATCAGTGTTGCTTTTACAAGACAAAAACAAAGAGGGAGTCATTGATTATGCTGACTTCATGCTTGCCAAGAAATGGGTGAATAAAAACTTTATTGCTGCAGCCTTTGAAGGAAAGAAAAAGAAAGGAAAGAAACGTGGTAAAAAAGGTGGCAAAAAAGGAAAATTTAAGCTTATTATGCCAATCTGCATTCAAGATGAAGGTCCAAGAACATTTGGAGGTGCTCCACCAGAGATATATATTCCTAGACATATCCATTTCACAGACACAGGGCGGTTTGATCGGGACTTGCCACCCAAACACCCACTGCAGGATGATTCAGGTAAATTTATATGTGTGTCAATATGTCACTTCAGCATGTACATTGGCTTTGTATGTGTCATGTCAGCTGTAAGATATCCTGCGTTTCTATGTGAACTCTACACACTGTCCTATATGCTAGAAGACTTAATTACTTTCTTCTGGACTCTATACAGATATTAAAGAATATAAAGTGGCAACAGATGGTCACATAAATAGACATGCTCATTACCATGTGCACATCTCAGATCAGACTTATAGGACAGGGTGCTCACATTTTTAAATGAGTTTTTCCTAAGCACATTTTCTATGGAAAGTTGGATTCAGGTACATGGATAAGAGGTGCATTAAACAAAAAATGATCAATGGATCCTTCAGCTTTATGGTTGACTGCAGGCATGACATACATGATCAGTCATATCTAATGACATTCATGATCAGTTACATCTAATGACGTAAATTAACATTCACATCTATCGACATACATGATCAGTCACCTCTAATGACACACATGATCAGTCACTTCTAATAACATACATGATCAGTCACTTCTAATAACATACATGATCAGTCATATCTAATAACATACATGATCAGTCACTTCTAATAACATACATGATCAGTCACATCTAAAAACATACATGATCAGTCATGTCTAATGACACACATGATCAGTCACTTCTAATAACATACATGATCAGTCACTTCTAATAACATACATGATCAGTCACTTCTAATAACATACATGATCAGTCGCCTCTAATGACACACATGATCAGTCACTTCTAATAACATACATGATCAGTCACTTCTAATAACATACATGATCAGTCATATCTAATAACATACATGATCAGTCACTTCTAATAACATACATGATCAGTCACATCTAAAAACATACATGATCAGTCATGTCTAATGACACACATGATCAGTCATGTGTAATGACATGCATTATCAGTCACTTCTAATGATATACATGCGCAGTAAACTCTAATGAATTGCATGTTCAGTTACATCTGATGACACACACATGATTAGTCACTTCCAATGACATACATGATCAGTAACTTCTTATGAGATACATGATAAGTCATCTGTTTTGACATACATAATCAGTCATCTTTAATGACATGCATGATCATTCAGTTCTAATGACATATGTAATCAGTTATGTCTAATGACATACATGATCAGTCTTGTCTAATGACATACATGATCAGTCTTGTCTAATGACATACATGATCAGTCATGTCTAATGACATATGTGATCAGTCATGTCTAATGACATACATGATCAGTCATGTCTAATGACATACATGATCAGTCATGTCTAATGACATACATGATCAGTTATGTCTAATGACACACATGATCAATCATGTCTAATGTTTATGTTAGATATCAGTAATGTTGAAATTATATGTCAAAAATGTTTACATTAGATATCAGTTGTATTTATATTCAGTATCAGTTGTTTTTACGTTAGGTATCAGAAAGTTTTATATTACTCATCAGCAACATTGGCATCATGCATCAATTATGTTTATGTTAGGGATCATTTATGTTTATAATAGGTATCAGTAATGTTTATATTAGTTATCAGTTATATCCATATAAGGTGTCAGGAATGTTTATATAAGGTATCAGTAATGTTTACATTAGTTAACCTTTGTTTACATTATAAATCAGTGATATTTATATTAGGTATCTATAATGTTTATTTTAGGTTTAGGGAAGAGTTATGTTTATATTAGCTATCAAAAATGTTTGTATTAGGTATCAGCAATTTTTATAATAGGTATCTGTTCTGTTTAAATTTGGTATCAGTAATGTTTATAACAGGTATCAGTAATTTTTATATTTAGTATCAGAAATGTAAATATTAGGAATTAGTAATATAAATACTACATTTAGGTAATATCATATTAGGTATCAGTTATGTTTACACCAGGTACAGTTATGTTTATATTAGGTATCAGTTATGTTTACATCAGGTACAGGTATGTTTATATTAGGTATCAGTTATTTTTATATTAGGTACCAATTATGTTTACATCAGGTACAGTTATGTTTCTATTAGGTATCAGTTATGTTTACATCAGGTACAGTTATGTTTTCTTTTAGATATCAGTTATGTTTACATCAGGTACAGTTATGTTTATATTAGGTATCAGTTATGTTTACATTAAGTACAGTTAGGTTTATATTAGGTATTAGTTATGTCTATATTATGTATTTATTGTGTTTTTATACATAGTACAATTGTTTGAACAATTTATTAATGTGATAAAAACAGAAAATTATTTTTTGTAATTTTTTTTTAATGCATTATGCATACAATTTATATTTAAATGAAATTATTACTGAACTACATGAATGCTGAATTAAGACCATGTCAGGATTATATTGACAGCCAGAGATTTAAATGGCTCAGACATCTAGTGAGAATGCAGCCGGACCAGACTGCATGTGAGACATTTTACCGTAGAACATCTGGGACGAAGATGAGAGGAAGACCAAGAAAGATATGCATAAATGGTGTAACTGAAACATGCAAAAAGATGAACAAATCCATAACTCAAGCCACCCAAGAAGCGCAAGACAAATACAGAAAACCACGACACTGGGCTACAACCTGATAACAGAGATACAACAAAAGAAGAAGAAGAATACCCTTTTTTTTCCACAGCATGAGAATAAAACTAAATTCTTAACCTATTACCCTTTTCCCATTTTCTTTTTTTTTTTCAGCTTGGTACATCCAGTCTCCAGCAAAAACATATGTTAACATGATTGAAGCTGCCAAAAATGCTGATTTAGATTCTTTGAAAGATGCTTTAGACATGGGCATACCGGTTGACACCCGTGATAGGTTTTACAAGACTCCTCTGATGATTGCTTGTGCTGTGGGCAACATCAAAGTGGTGCAGTTCTTGCTGGAGAAAGGGTTAGTAGTGGCACTACTGTAGCACAACTGCCTTCTTTCGTACGTCAATGTCACACCCAGGTTCGTCTTTTAATTTGCTACAGGAGGAGTCAATTGGAAGGGTATAGACGAGGAGAAAGATGGTCGTGTCGATAGTGATGATGATGATGTCTTGCTTGCTGCATGCTTCTCACATGACTCTGATGCTTGAAAAATACAGTGTTTTGAAACAATTGTTATTTTCTATACTGTCTTTATTGTGATACGTCAGTAATGTCACAAACAACATCAATGATTTTCTGAATGGTGCTGTGTTCTCTCTGTGGTTACATACTCTTAAGGTCACCTTGTGCTCTTTATCTCTAATTTGCTAACTCGCTCTAGTGTCTGTAACTGCCACCTGGCTTCTAGTGCTGTCTGGTACTAACGGCTTGTACGTCGACTCTAACATTTCAATAGTGTTTCTGTTAACCATGGATCCGTGTGTCTCTGTAGTTTGATGTGTTGTTTCATGTCTCTTCTCTTGTGACTGTCTTCGAGGCTCCATGTCACTGGTTTCTCTTCTTCTAGTGTTAAGCTGGCATCTCTACAACTGCGAGGGTCAATGAGACTAGTTGCTCATCCTCTGAGTCTCAACTGCTGAAGGTTTTCTTTGAGGGTCCATGTTACTAGTCCCTCCTCATCTAAGTCTTGTAGACTGAAGGCTTTCAAAGTGGTTTCTCACTCAGTATTTATACTGAATTGCTGGAATACTAAGTATTTGTTTTCTTCTCACTTTGACTGCTTCTAGAATATTCTTGTATGCTAAAACTTGTTTACTGTGTGCGTTCTCACGTGGGATTTTCCAATTACATCTTGACTGCACCAGATTTCATCATCTTATTCTGCCCCTAAATAAAGTAATTAAATTGACAGCTGACCTTTTAGAGACTTCTAGAAAGCCAGTACAACTGTGTTCACTTCGATAGGGCACGTCAACAGTGACATCATATACTATTTATAGATTATTCATTTGCAAAATATTATCTGTTAATAACAAACGAAGGTTCTAGAAAAGGGGAATATCAAGGTTACCAAAACTTGTTGATTCTGGTACATCTTAGCTTTGCGCAATATCCTACCTCCTAACAAACAAGTGATAACATCTCCCTGTTCCACTATCAGTGATATTTGTATACACAATATAGCACATTGTGGCTATAGTAGCCACACTATTGGCGATATTTATCAACATAATATAATACATTCTGACTACAGTAGTCACTTTATCAGCAATGTTTGTATACACAGTATAGCACAATCTGGCTAAAGTAGTCACACTATCATCAATGTTGTAGCGGTGACACAAGCTTTCATTTGGCTAGAATCACAGGAATATTGCAGCATGTGTGTGCTGAGTGATTCTTTGAGCATGATTTGGCATGTCGAGACAGGCTGGTTACGCAGACAGTGGTTTGAGTCATTGCAAAACTCTCCTGTGTGTGCAGTTACCTTCATATTCATCCCAGGTCATGCAGGCGTTGTTGGTAATGAAAGAGCTGATAGACTGGCAGGTGCTGCTTAAATTGAAGATGACTGGTCCATGGATCATGCAGACATTGTCATTGCCCTTAGAGAGATAGGACGCACTGAGGATTATGGAAGCAATGTGTCCACATCACTGCTAAGAATACAAATATTGGAAGTAAAGATAGGCACAGCCAAGCATGAAAAGCACACCGGACGCACACAAAGTCTTGTTAACCAACATAGGACTGGGACTATTAACCTGATCATACACGATCCGTTTAAACATGCTTATGCTTGTGTGGCATGGAAGACTAGATTGTGTCACAGATTCGTAGTAAGTTAGTAGTAGTCGTTTGTATTAGTCATTAATAGTAGTAGTAGTTGTTGTAGTTTTAGTTTCATGAGATATTTTTGATTTTGCTCTGAAGTAAACTACATCTTCTCTTGCAGTGCTGCCGTCAATGCCAGAGATAACTTTAAGTGGACACCACTGCATCATGCTTGCCATGCTGGCCAATTGGATATTGTTCAACTGTTGGTACAACATGGAGCAGAGATAGATGCAGCAACCATCAATGGTGGCACACCACTCACTAGGGCTATTGAGAGTTGCAAGGACACGGTAGTACAGTACCTCATTGACAAGGGCTGCAAAATGAGAACAGAGAACAAGAATGGTAAAGCTGTCAGTGTCCTTGTTTGTATTTTCCTAAGTGTTGACATTCACGATCAGCATAATCATGGTCAGCATTATCATGGTCAACTTTATCATGATCAGCATTATCATGATCAGCATTATCATTGTCAGCATTATCATGATCAGCATTATCATTGTCATCATTATCATGGTCAACATTATCATTGTCAGCATTATCATGGTCAACATTATTATGAACAGCATTATCATCATCAGCATTATCCTTGTCAGCATTATCATGACCAGCATTATCATGGTCAACATTATCATGATCAGCATTATCATAGTCAGCATTATCATGGTCAGCATTATCATGATCAGCATTATCATAGTCAGCATTATCATGGTCAGCATTATCATGATCAGCATTATCATTGTCATCATTATCATGGTCAACATTATCATGATCAGCATTATCATTGTCATCATTAACATGGTCAACATTATCAACATCAGCATTATCCTTGTCAGCATTATCATGATCAGCATTATCATGGTCAACATTATCATGATCAGCATTATCATAGTCAGCATAATCATGGTCAACACTATCATTGTCAGCATTATCATAGTCAGCGTTATCATGGTCAACATTATCATGATCAGCATTATCAAGGTCAACATTATTATGAACAACATTATTATCATCAGCATTATCCTTGTCAGCATTATAATGGTCAGCATTATTATGGTCAGCATTATCATGATCAGCATTACATTGGTCAACATTATCATAATCAGCATTATCGTGGTCAACATTATTATGAACAGCATTATCATCATCAGCATTATCCTTGTCATCATTATCATGATCAGCATTATCATGGTCAACATTATCCTAATCAGCATTATCACAGTCAGCATTATCATGGTTAACATTATCATTGTCAGCATTATCAAGGTCAACATTATTATGAACAACATTATTATCATCAGCATTATCCTTATCAGCATTATCATGGTCAGCATTATCATGGTCAGCATTATCATGGTCAGCATTATCATGATCAGCATTATCATGGTCAACATTATCATGATCAGCATTATCATGGTCAACATTATCATGGTCAGCATTATCATGGTCAACATTATCATAGTCAGCATTATCATGGTCAGCATTATTATGAACAGCATTATCATCATCAGCATTATCCTTGTCAGCATTATCATGATCAGCATTATCATGGTCAACATTATCCTGATCAGCATTATCATAGTCAGCATTATCATGGTCAACATTATCATAGTCAACATTATCATGGTCAGCATCATCATGGTCAACATTATCATTGTCAGCATTATCGTGGTCAACATTATTATGAACAGCATTATCATCATCAGCATTATCCTTGTCAGCATTATCATGATCAGCATTATCATGGTCAACATTATCCTGATCAGCATTATCATAGTCAGCATTATCATGGTCAACATTATCGTTGTCAGCATTATCATAGTCATCATTATCATGGTCAACATTATCATTGTCAGCATTATCAAGGTCAACATTATTATGAACAACATTATTATCATCAGCATTATCCTTATCAGCATTATTATGGTCAGCATTATCATGGTCAGCATTATCATGATCAGCATTATCATGATCAGCATTATCATGGTCAACTTTATCATGGTCAGCATTATCATGGTCAACATTATCATAGTCAGCATTATCATGGTCAGCATTATCATGGTTAGCTATATCATGGTCAACAGTAGTATAGTAAACATTATCCTGGTCAACATTATCATGGTCAGGCTCATTAGCATAGTTGGTTAAAGCTGACTTCACGGCAACTGGGTGAGGAACTCCTTGTGTTCTAGACTCACGCCTGGGGGCTAGGCAGAAAAGCCACATTTCTCCCAGATTTACAGTACATATCATGGAATCAAGGCCAAAGGGTTGTGATATTCATAGTACCCAGCCAAAGGGTTTACAACTCAAGGTTTCTGGGTAATTGAAAAAAAAATGATCAACATTATCATGCAAATGTAGTCCAGCATCATATGCATCATGTGCTACTGATGTTAAAAGTGTTCTTACTTTATTTATTCTTATAAACACTTCAGTGCTTTATTTATTCTCATAAACACTTCAGTATTTTATTTATTCTCATAAACACTTCAGTACTTTATTTATTCTCATAAACACTTCTAGACTTTATTTATTCTCAGAATACTTCAGTACTTTATTTATTCTCATAAACACTTCAGTGCTTTATTTATTCTCATAAACACTTCAGTGCTTTATTTATTCTCATAAACACTTCAGTACTTTATTTATGATACTTCAGTACTTTATTTATTCTCAGAATATTTCAGTACTTTATTTATTCTCATAAACACTTCTAGACTTTATTTATTCTCATTAACACTTCTAGACTTTATTTATTCTCATAATACTTCAGTGCTTTATTTATTCTCATAAACACTTCAGTACTTTATTTATTCTCATAAACACTTCAGTGCTCTATTTATTCTCATAAACACTTCTAGGCTTTATTTATTCTCAGAATACTTCAGTACTTTATTTATTCTCATAATACTTGAGTATTTTATTTATTCTCATAAACACTTCAGTGCTTTATTTTTTCTCATAAACACTTAAGTGCTCTATTTATTCTCATAAACACTTCTAGGCTTTATTTATTCTCAAAATACTTCAGTACTTTATTTATTCTCATAATACTTGAGTATTTTATTTATTCTCATAAACACTTCAGTGCTTTATTTATTCTCATAAACACTTTAGTGCTCTGTTTATTCTCATGTCTGTCTGATAATATAATTTCTGACTTTGTCTCGGATGGTA